AACTGCAACATTAACACCCCTCCTTCAGAGTGCAGGCACTGTACTTCCCATCTCCAGGACTCAAGTCCGGCCTGCCGGTTTCCCTGAATCCCTTCATAAATGTTACTTTGCTCACACTCCAACAGCACGTCAAGTATTAAAAACCATTTGTCTCCATTCACTCCTATCAAACACGCTCACGCATGCCTGCTGGAAGTCCAAGCCCCTCGCACACAAAAGAATCTTTCCTCCGTAAGCCATGCGTGTCGTATGAGGCGACTAAAATGCCGGGAGCAATGGGCTAGTAACCCCTTCTCCTGTATACAATTACTAAAAAAGAGAAGAAGAAAAACTTTATAAAACACAGGATGTACCTTCCATAAAACTGTGCTGGTTGGCATTTATACTCTTGTTTTGTTCCAGGTGCTCCACCACTCTCCTCCTAATAATCTTCTCCATTACTTTGCATACTATGCACGTCAGTGACACTGGTCTATAGTTTAGTGCCTCTTTTCTGTCTCCTTTTTTAAATATGGGTACTACATTTGCCGTCTTCCATACCTCAGGTAGTTGCCCAGCTTCAAGGGATGTATTGAATATTGTGGTTAGTGGCACACACACAACATTTCTGCTCCCTCTCTAAGGACCCACTGGGAGATGTTGTCTGGTCCCATTGCCTTTGAGGTATTAAGGTCCCTTAGCAGCTTCTTCACCACCTCCTCAGTTGTGTGTATGTCATCTAACACTTGTTGAAATATTCCTTGTTGGCGTCCCCCTCTGTTCTGTCTACCCAGACGCCTTCCTGTCATGTATGTCTGTTGCAGTGGCCTGCTATAGTCATGTATGTCTGTTGCAGTGACCTGCTATAGTCATGTATGTCTGTTGCAGTGGCCTGCTATAGTCAAGTAAGTCTGTTACTGTGGCCTGCTATAGTCAAGTAAGTCTGTTGCAGTGGCCTGCTATAGTCATGCAAGTCTGTTACTGTGGCCTGCTATAGTCAAGTAAGTCTGTTGTAGTGGCCTGCTATAGTCATGTAAGTCTGTTACTGTGGCCTGCTATAGTCATGTAAGTCTGTTACTGTGGCCTGCTATAGTCATGTAAGTCTGTTACTGTGGCCTGCTATAGTCATGTAAGTCTGTTACTGTGGCCTGCTATAGTCATGTAAGTCTGTTACTGTGGCCTGCTATAGTCATGTAAGTCTGTTACTGTGGCCTGCTATAGTCAAGTAAGTCTGTTGCAGTGGCCTGCTATAGTCATGTAAGTCTGTTACTGTGTACTCACCTAATTGTGGTTGCAGGGGTCAAGACTCAGCTCCTGGCCCAGCCTCTTCACTGATCGCTACTAGGTTCTCTCTCTCTCTGCTTCCTGAGCCTTGTCATACCTCCTCTTAAAGCTATGTATGGTTCCTGCCTCCACTACCTGGAGAGACCTGGAGAGAGTTCCGGGAGTCAATGCCCCCACGGCCCGGTCTGTGACCAGGCCTCACGGTGGATCAGGGCCTGATCAACCTGGCTGTTACTGCTAGCCGCACGCAATTCAACGTACAAACCACAAGCCGGCTGGTAAGCTAGCGACTTTAGGTGCCTGTCCAGTGCCTGCTTGAAGACAGCCAGGGGTCTATTGGTAATCCCCCTTATGTATGCTGGGAGGCAGTTGAACAGTCTTTGGCCCCTGACACTTAATGTGTTGTCTCTTAACGTGCTAGTAGCACCCCTGCTTATTTATTTATTTATTTTATTTATTTCTTTGCAAATAGTACATTGAGATTATATATTTACAATAATGGGTTGCAATGCAGAGAGAGCCTCTATTATGCCTAGGCATTATGGGCCGACTTAACATTACTGGTTTACTGACTACTTAACACTAAGAATTATATCGTAGTTGTACAGTAGATTATTAATTATATCATCGTTGTACAGTAGGTTATTAATTATAAGTGAATCTAATTTATATAAGACAAAAGATATATTCATATATTCGAAAATGTTTTTTGTGAAAACAATGATTCAAATTATATTCCTGTCAACAGTGGATAAAAGGTTCAAAGTGATTGTTGAAATTATGTGGGAGTACATAGGTGAGTAAGTGTGTACTGAGTATTTAGCGTTTAGTCTAGGGTGATTAAGTGGCTTTTGAGAAGAGTCTTAAACTGATTTTCAGACCGGGTTACTTTAATATCTTCTGGTAATGAATTCCATATTTTAGGGCCCTTTATGTGCATAGAGTTTTTACACAGTGTGATAAGGACACGAGTTATATCAAAAAGAGATCTATGCCTTGTGTTGTGGTCATGTGTCCTGTTTAAGTTGGTGAGAAGTTTGAGTGGAGGGTTTATATTTGCGTGTATTGTTCTGTGTATGTAGTAGGCACATGAATAAGTATGGATGTTCTTAATGGTGAGCAGATTCAGACTTTTGAAAATTGGTGGAGTATGCTGGTGGGAGTGGGAATTTGTTATCATTCTTACTGCTGCCTTTTGCTGGGTTATTAGAGGTCTTAGGTGATTTAATGTTGTTGATCCGCACACACAAATTCCATATGTAAGATAAGGGTATATGAGTGAATGGTACAATGTCAGGAGAGCTGATTGTGGAACGTAGTGCCTTATCTTTGATAGTATGCCTACAGCCTTGGAGATTTTCTTGATTTGTTGTATGTGTCCGGAACTTAAGGCTACTGTCAAGGTGGATACCTAGGAATTTTTCCCTCTGTGAGTCTTGTGACTGATGATCCATTTAGTGTTATGTTAATTGGATCATTTGCAGCTTTGTTTCCAAACTGAATGAAATAGGTTTTATCAATGTTCAGGGTAAGTTTGTTAGAAATCATCCAGGCAGATATTTTCTGTAATTCAGCATTGACTGTGTTTGCTAGTATGACTGTGTTTGGGTGGGAAAAGACATATGTAGTGTCATCTGCAAATAATATGGGTTTGAGTAGCTGTGATGCATTCGGTAGATCATTGATGTAAATGAGAAAGAGGAGTGGTCCAAGGACGCTTCCCTGTGGGACTCCTACTGTGATTGGTTGGGTGGAAGAGTTTGAATCATTTGCATACACATATTGAGTTCTGCTACTAAGGTATGATTTTAGGTAGTTGAGGGAGTGGCCTCTGATACTATAGTGCATTAATTTGGAGTACAGCAGTTCATGGTCGACTGTATCAAAAGCTATACGTAAATCAATGAAAATGCCCAGCGGGACTTCTTTCTTTTCGAGTGTGGTATATATTAGTTCTAACATGTGTATGATAGCATCATTTGTGCTTTTGTTATTTCTGAATCCAAACTGACAAGGGTTTAATATGTTGTGTGAGACGAGCTAGGAATAGATCCGTCTATGAATTAATTTTTCAAAGATTTTAGAGAGCAGTGATAAGTTAGATATTAGTCTATAGTTATTCAAGTCAGCTAGGTCACCTCCTTTATGGATCAGAGTGACCCTCGCTATTTTGAGAATTGTTGGGAAGGTAGATGATTCAATGGATCTGTTAAAGAGTGTTGCAATAATTGGTGACAATACTTGAGAAGTTTTTTTGTACATAAAAGCAAGCAAGTTGTTTATGTCTCCTGCCTTGTTTTTAAGGGTGTTGATGATGAGTGAGACTTCTAGTGGGTTGGTTGGAGCTAGGAATAGCGTATTTGGGTAGGTACCTATGAGGTAGTCTGATGGATGGGTGATTGAGCTTGGTATTTTGTTCGCTAGATTTTTTCCTATGGTGGAGAAGAAAACATTGAGTCTGTTTGCTGTTTCAGTAGGTGTGAGTAGGGGTTCATCTGATTTTGTTAGTTTGATTGTTTTGTTTTTGGATAACTTTTTAGTTCCAAGAATTTCAGATAGAGTTTTCCAGGTCTTTGTCATATCACCTTTGATGTTATGTAATCTATTTTCATAAGTACATTTTTTTAGATCTTCTTATCAGGCTGGAAAGAGCTGACGAGTAACTTTTTGATTGTTCTCTTAGTTATATGTCCCATTAAGAGATAAGATAAGATTTCGTTCGGATTTTTAACCCCGGAGGGTTAGCCACCCAGGATAACCCAAGAAAGTCAGTGCGTCATCGAGGACTGTCTAACTTATTTCCATTGGGGTCCTTAATCTTGTCCCCCAGGATGCGACCCACACCAGTCGACTAACACCCAGGTACCTATTTGCTGCTAGGTGAACAGGACAACAGGTGTAAGGAAACGTGTCGAAATTTTTCCACCCGCCGGGAATCGAACCCGGGCCCTCCGTGTGTGAAGCGGGAGCTTTAGCCACCAGGCCACCGGGCCATTCTAAGATGTTTTTCATGTTTGTGCTTTGTGTTAATGGATTTGAGGAGGCTGGGTGTTAGCCAGGGACTATTCAGTATCTTTGCTGTGATCTGTTTAGTTTTTTGGGGCAATGTTTGTTGTAGACGCAATGGGCTTTTTTTAGAAAATTATTTATACATTCATTCATATCTGTATATGTTTCGAGCTCATTTTGCCAACTGATGTTATTCATAGCTGCTATAAAGTTGTTAACTGCTGTCTTGTTATGTAGTCTAAAGGTTACTTTAGTAATGTCTTGTTGCAATTTACCTAGATTAGTTATGAGAAAGGTTGGGTAGTGGTCTGTAGTGTTGTCTGTGATTATGCCTGATTTTAAAGGGGATATGGTGTTAGTCCAGACGTGGTCTATTAACGAGACACTTGTCTCGGTGATTCTTGTAGGCTTAGATATTGTTGGTAGCAACAGGCAGTTGCTTATAGTGTTTGTGAATTCGGTTATTCCACTTCCTGACAACTCTATGACTGAAGAAATACTTCCTAACATCCCTGTGACTCGTCTGAGTCTTCAACTTCCAATTGTGACCCCTTGTTTCTGTCTCCCCTCACTGGAACATCCTGTCTCTCTCCACCTCATCTATTCCATGCAATATTTTGTAGGTCATTATCATGTCTTCCCTGACCCTCCTGTCCTCCAGTATCGTCAGTCCGATTTCCCTCAACCTTTCTTCGTAGGACATTCCTCAGAGCTCCGGAACTAGCCTTGTTGCAAACTTTTGTACTTTCTCTAATTTCTTGATGTGCTTGACCAGGTGTGGATTCAAAACTGTTGCTGCATACTCCAGTATGGGCCTGACGCACACAGTGTACAGTGTCTTGCTGTAGTCATGTATGTCTTACTGTGGCTTGCTATAGACATGTATGTTTGTTGCTGCGGCCTGTCATTAGGTATGTTCACCTTTATGCATTTTCATTTTTTACTATCATTATTATAATCACGGGAAAGTGTTAAACCCATATGGGCTATATAGCACTTGTGCAGTGTTATATTATAAACACTAAACCCACATGGGTCATACAGCACTGAGGGAGGGAGGCAGGGGCTAGTATGAATCTAATCCTAATGTCAGAGGTGGTACAATAGGTTGTTGGTCTCTGTTTAAAAAAAAAGATGAAGAATTGAGACACTTATGCAACATACGGGAATCTTTATTGAAGAAACGTTTCGCCACACACTGGCTTCATCAGTCCAATACAAAGTAGAAATGGGTAAGGAGAGGAGTTTGAGGTAATCAGTCCCTCAACCTGGAATCGATGTGTTCAGTTCATCACTCTTGTAGGAAGTACAGCATAGGGCCAGAGAGGCAGCTTATATACTGCAGTCAGCTGAGTCGAAGCAGGAGGCAGGATCACAGTGGGACCTGCCACCTCCTTACCCATTTCTACTTTGTATTGGACTGATGAAGCCATTGTGTGGCGAAACGTTTCTTCAATAAAGATTCCCATATGTTGCATAAGTGTCTCAATTCTTCAAGTTTTCGGTTTTCAAAACCATTCATCACATCTGTGATGAATGAATTGTCCAACCTTAGGACGACGACCTACTTACACTAGTGGCAGGTCCCACTGTGATCCCACCTCCTCCTGCTTCGACTCATCTGACTGCCGTATATAAGCCACCTCTCTGGCCCTATGCTGTACTTCCTACAAGAGTGATGGACTGAACACATTGATTCCAGGTTGAGGGACTGCTTACCTCAAACTCCTCCTCTCCTTACCCATTTCTACTTTGTATTGGACTGATGAAGCCACTGTGTGGTGAAACATTTCTTTAGTAAAGATTCCCATTTGTTGCATAAGTGTCTCAATTCTTCAAGTTGTCAGTTTTCAAAACCATTCATCACAAAAAAAAGATGGAGCTGGACAGGCACCTAAAGTCTGTATCTGACCAGTCGGGTTGTGGTTTGTATGTTGGATTATGTGCATCCAGCAGTAATAGCCTGGTTGATCAGGTCCTGATCCACTGTGAGGCCTGGTCATGGAGAGGCGTTGACCCCCAGAACATCCTCCAGGTAAGGAAGGCCCTTCAGGGTCAAAGCTAGTGAACTACAGTTGTGACTTGGCAGTTCAGCTCGAGTTGCTGGGCACTTCTCCATGTGGGATTCATAAAAAAGTTGTGTATGTCCAGTTTGCAATCATGCAAGTGTAGTTTCCCAAAAATTGCCAGCTTTGGGAAGGAGGCCAGAAACTCCTTTGTTGCTTGATGCAAAACTGTTGCATTCTAACTAAAGATGGTTTTTCTTAGCAGCAGCTTTGTAGCTGGTGAAAATACAAGAAAACAGCCTGAGAAATGAAGACCGTCTGCAGGAAACTGGCAAGTCGTGAATACCAGATCAAGTGGTTGAGTCCGCATGTTTATTGCCCTGATCATTGTGTCAGAGACAAGCAAAAAAAATTTCTTTGTGTTTACTAGAAATGCAACATAACCATTGATGTATATGAAGGACAATTAGACAAGGTTAGTTAGTTAGTGTATTATCTCTATTATGCACCACATACCCATCCTGAGGGCAGTAGTCAAAAGATTACAGAGGTAAATAATGGGTCCAGAGACTGGGCCCCAAAGTTTTAATAGCTGAACAAGTTACAAAGGTAATGAACTCCAGGTAGATCTGGTCATAATCATGACAAGTTATGAGACAAGGAAAGTCAAATTTCTGGATAGCTTGTGATACACTTTGGGAGTCAGTTACAACGAATGATGAGGCATAGTTGCAATGTGTATGATTATTATTGGTTTAGAAAGACACATAAGCAAACACTATAACATATTTATTAGAAAACGTTTCGGTCCTGGGACCTTGATCACTTCTAACATACAGAGGTAGAAAGACATTATATATAGGCGGTGAGTGAGGTGTGACGCACGTGACCTGAGGAATGTCATAAGAACATAAGAATGGAGGAACACTGTAGAAGGCCTACTGGCCCATGCGAGGCAGGTCCTTATCAAAAACAACCTCTGCCTATGATGAGGACGGGTAGACGATGAAATCATGTGACTCCTGTGTTGTGCAAAGAAAGGTATAAAATACCGACAATATGAAAGTTAAGACACATGTGCAACATCTGGATATCTTTATTGTAGTAGACGTCTCTTTGGGAAGGACCTACTTCCACTGGGGAATCCCGCCTACCAGTGACTGACCTCGTCTGCTGCCCGTCCCATTCACTGACGCCTATAAAAAGCGCCAGTCTTCTTGCCTTTGCTCCAGACTCTCCTCCACCACGATGCTGTGAACACTAACTCCAAGGCCGAGGGACTGATTACCTCATCTTTTGTATATAGTTCTACTGTCTTCCTATTATGTCCTAGAATCTGTATTGATAAAGCCACTGGATGGCGAAACGTCTACTACAATAAAGATATCCAGATGTTGCACATGTGTCTTGACTCCTGTGTTGTTGGGTTGGTGCTGCTTAAGTATCATGTATGCCAATGTTTTTGAAATTTTGTAGTTTCCAGTGGAAACTACAGCAACACTGGAAACTACAAAATTTCAAAAACATTGGCATACATGATACTTAAGCAGCACCAACCCAACAACACAGGAGTCACATGATTTCATCGTCTACCCGTCCTCATCATAGGCAGAGGTTGTTTTTGATAAGGACCTGCCTCGCATGGGCCAGTAGGCCTTCTACAGTGTTCCTCCATTCTTATGTTCTTATGACATTCCTCAGGTCACGTGCGTCACACCTCACTCTCCGCCTATATATAATGTCTTCCTACCTCTGTATGTTAGAAGTGATCAAGGTCCCAGGACCGAAACGTTTTCTAATAAATATGTTATAGTGTTTGCTTACGTGTCTTTCTAAACCAACTTGTCGGTATTTATTACCAAGGTTTATACCATGATTATTATTATAATCAAAAAGAGGCACTAAACCTACAAAGATCATATAGTCAATATGTATGATGGTGGTGAGAACTGCGTATAATCCGCCGTGAAAATGCTGGCCAACTCTAGTAAATACCTTGAATTATTTTACCTGGAAAAGAGTCGCATACCTTACATGATCTATGGAGTTGCAGCTGCTAGCAAGATTAGATGAAATTACAGTGATGGGGAACTGCTAAATCCATAGGGATCATGCAGCACCCCTGGAATAGGGAAGCAATCAGGTTAGATCCATGGGGAGGTTAGGTCAGCTGTTGACATGCAGCATTCAGTCACAGTTTGACACAGATGTGACTATGGTATTCAGTGCATTCATGGGAAAGCACTAAACCCATAAGGTCATACAGAGCTGGGGGATTGTGTATGGGAAGCACAATATGATCCAAGGAAGTAGGGGTACCTTCTTGGAGAGTATTCTAGGGGTCAACACCCCCGCGGCCCCATCCACGACCAGGCCTCCTGGCGGATCAGGGCCTGATCAACCAGGCTGTTTCTGCTGGCTGCACAAAGTCTAACATACGAACCACAGCTCTGCTGATCCAGCACCGACTTTATCTGTCCAGCTGTAGTTCCAGTTCTCTGGACAAAGAGCTCTTCATTATGTCTAGAAATTTCCCTTGAAGATGCCCTAGGGTTCAGTTGGTAGTTCATTTATCTCATACCGAGGGTCCGTGGTTCAATCCCCGGCATGGATGGAAATGTTAGGTATGTTCCTTACACCTGCTACCCCTGTGCACCTAGCAGTAAGTAGGTACCTGGGCATTAGTCAGCTGTTGTGGGTTGCATTCCAGGTGGTGGTAAAGTTGGTCTTTGCAGTGAGCTGAGGTAGAATAACAGCTCTTAGCCTGTAAAATTGGTGCAAAAAAGAAAAAGACTATGGTAGTTAAAACAATGTACCATAACAAAAGTTTTAATCTCAGTGCAAATTATTTTTGTTATTATATTCTGGGATAAGCACTTAACAATTAGGGAATCATACTGTGCCTGAGAAATGTGGGACAATCAAGTTTGATTCAAGAAAAGGCAGTTCCCATTCCTTGGATCAAGACCCACCAGCATCAAGGCACCCCCTCCTGAAGGTTGTTAGAAATATAGACATTGCCTATTCTCTGATGTTAAATTTTATTTAGCCATTTTAGTGACACTTGGTTTTTATTTATTTCAGGTGTACCATGGGTACTCCAAGCCTGGATGGAAAGATCAACAATGGCTATCAACAGTTCAGGAACATGTAGTACAAATTTTGTTCTTTTCACCCTTGTTATTAACATAATTTACATCATGCCATTTCTTGTTACGATCTATAGTATCTTTCTCGCAGTTATAGTCATTGTCATTGTTTTGGTGGGGGCATTGCTCTTTAGGTGGTGTTGTGATGATGGTATTAGAAGTGATGTTGGTGTCATTGGGATTAGATATGCAACAAGTACAACAGACAGTGCATACAGGAAAATTGATAGCACATATCTGAGTAGTGCATCTGCTGATGTTGCTAAGACCAAACATATTGGTTTTGGAGATGCAGGTGCTGGAGTTTCTTTGAACACTGGAAGCCTGCAAACTGAAGAGTACTTGTTTACTGCATATCAATCTGTAGGTGTGAGCAATACACACATACATGAGGAGGCTGGTGTTAGGAAAACAGGTGTCCAAGAAAGTAGTGCAGGTGTAAATATAGAGAGAGCCATGTGCTAGTCACTGTCATACTGGTATTCACACATTATTTCACTTGTAATTGAAGTTATTAAAAAATATTACACATGTTGATATAACATGTGACATTGGTGATGGCACACTATTTAATATTTGTGAACCATATACCCCACTGCCTAAAAATGAACAAACCAAAGGTTTTTATTTTTAACAAACTGGCTGTCTCCCACAGAGGCAGTGTGACCCAAAAAAGAAGAAACAAAAGTTTTTCTTTTTAACATTTAGTAATTTATACAGAAGGGGTTACTAGCCCCTTGCTCCTGGCACTGTAGTTACCTCTTGTGACAGGCGTGGTTTACGAGGAAGAATTCTTTTCCACTTCCCCATATATACAGTAGAACCCCTTTATCCACTTATTCGGTGTCCATGGTTTCAGTTATCCATGGTTTCCTGTAGCCCAAAAATACTTATTAATTTTGCATGATAGTGACCCCAGAGCACAAAAGTAGAAAAAGCTGGCAGTTCTTCAAATCCTAAGAGAGGCCATGAAGTGCTTCCCATCATATAAGAGGTATGCATAAAACTTATATAGTGTGTTTGCTACTATCCACGGTATCCATGGCAGGTCCTTGAAACATGTCCCCCGTGGATACAAATGGTTCTACTGTACATAGTAGGGAAGCACTAAACATACTGGTAAATGTTAGGTGAATAGACACAGATGCAACTAATGTCACATTTTATTGTGGCAATGTTTTGCTCTCCAAGAGCTTTGTCAGGCTTTTACAGCTTGACAAAGCTCCTGGAGAGTGAAACTTTGCCACAATAAAATGTCACACTTGTTGCATCTGTCTATTTACCTAATATTTTGTCAGTAATTCTACCATTATTACCATACTGGTAAATGCATTCAGAATTTGTGTAGATAGTGAGAGTCTTCTAATGGTAACAGGAGTATAATTATTTTATACAGTGGAAATAGTACAAATGCATTTAAATGATATTCATGTTCAGAGATGCTGTGATCTTGCTAGTTGTGGTTAGATATCATTAGTAATTTGCATGTTAATACCCAGGTGCAACATGATCCCTATGGGTTTAGCATGAATATAATAATTATGGGTTAATGCAGGTACTGTAGAATAACAACAAAATTCTAAGTTGTACTGTAGAATAGCACAGAATTCTAAGTTATACTGTAGAGTAGCACAGAATTCTACATTATACTGTAGAATAGCACAGAATTCTACGTTATACTGTAGAGTAGCACAGAATTTTAAGTTATACGGTTGAGTAACACAGAATTTTAAGTTAGTGTGAAAATGTTCTCTTGCAACAAAAGTATAAGCACAACTGGTTATGCTCAGCTGCAAAGAATTGTGATGATTGAATTTGCATTACATTTACATTGTATGTCATCTTGCTATGGCAAGAATGGTCAGTATGATTAAAAAAAAAATTGATGGAAGTGCTAAATCCAAAAGGGTCATACAGCACTTCACAGCAGAAGTGAAAGTGATTGTCGTGGCGAGGGATGAGATTTTGCCGCAACTGTAACAACAGACAATTCTGTAGCCGTTAGACTTAGTCCAGGGTATCTGAAGCAGCTGAGCCAGTGTATTTTGTCCCTTATTTCCAAAGTCTGTAAAATTGACGTCCATTTAAGTCGATAGTTTACTGTATTGAATTAAAATATTTTGTATGATGTTAAGATGGTTGCCCTTACTTGAAGATTAATATGCTTAGATGACCTAACTCTACAAGCAGTTAGGTCATCTAACTAGATCAATAATTTAAAACTCCACAAATACTAATGCAAAAACATAAAATTAAATACATATGGTACACTGTTACGTTGTTTCATCTATAACCTTCAGAGTATAATTCAAAAATTATACAACTTGAATATTATTGATACTTTATTATTATTGTATCATAGTCATTTACATAAAAATAAAAGTTAGGGAGAAAATAATGACAATTACTGATTACAGAGGAATACATTAAGCTCTTTACTTGTTTTGACACACATTTTACATGCTGTATCATATACATGTATGCAAAAATTATAAATACTTTTCTAAGAAAAAAAAAAAAGGCCCCCCAAAAATGACTTTTGGCTCTGCTGTATTCCCAACTCATTGCATTAATATGTATACAGTTAGTTAATCAATTAGCAAATAAAATTTAATAAGAATACTCTTTTGCAATAGATGAAATTTATTATAATCCAGAATTATCCAGGTTATTATCATATGACCTTACAGATACAATTTCTAAAATAAAAAGTCTTACCACTAATAAAGTAATCAAACATTTGTATACAAAAAAATAAACACAAAAACTGACAAACTTTCAATATCTGTATTTTGTTGAATAATCTTTTGGAGACACCACTAAACCTCTTCCTTTGCGTGCTCCACGATACACCGTCTCCACGATATCAATCATCTCTTGCTTGTCTTCCAAGGCCCAGTTGATTTTATTGTTGTTACCAGTACCAAGATCAATCATAATATGCTTGTTCCTGAAGAAAAACATGCACGTGCAGGGGTCGTACAATTCGTACATTTTGTTGAAGTCTGGCACCTCAGTAATATCCACTAAATATATGACAGCAAAGTTCTTCACTTTTTCAGCAATGTTGTAGAGCACTTCATCCATTTTCATGCAGGTTGGATCCCAGTCGTGGCCGAAGCGGATCACCTGCGGAAAAGCCATAAAACTCTGCAAAAGCACGTTTGATAACAAAAATTAAATGTGCAAACATTTATAATTTCTGACTCTCAAGTTTAAAAAATCTAACAATGTAACATTCCAAGGCCGTAAACTTAAGTCTAACTTAGGCTTAGAATGTCTTAAGTCATGGTATAGTAGTTACTAGTGACTGTAAATTTTGGTACAAAATTAATTTTGGCCTCTGCATCCTTCTCAGTAGGAGCAGCTTTCTACTGGCTAACTCTACTTCCCTTCCTTGTGGACATTTAGCATTCTAGGAAAGATACTCTTCTGCTTTTTAGTCTGAGATCAAATATATTTACGCAATGTATTAGCACTAAAGAAAGACTGTTAAAAGTTTATTATATATATATCTTTTCCAAGTGTAGTTATATACTACAGTAGCTGTTAACCTTTGGTGTATACCAAGTAAAATACATTATCCTTCATGCTGTACTGACATACAGTGCCTAAAATTATATGTTATGACTAGAATTAAGTACAGTGGACCCCCGCTTAACGATCACCTCCCAATGCGACCAATTATGTAAGTGTATTTATGTAAGTGCATTTGTACGTGTATGTTTTGCATAATAAGAGGCTGTCTTTTAAACCTAAATTGGTATCAAATCTTTATCAGTGTTGTATCTGTTTCTCAACAATAACTTAATGGCATGTAAATCTAACTACTGTAACTTCTATATATGATTAACTGAAATAAACAGTTTATTTTTTAAAAGACTAAAATACTGTTTGAACTGAATAAAAGAGCAGCAAGACTTGCCTAAATTTGAGGATGAGACTTTGACAATAACACCCTTAAAGGTAGGTAATGCTTTGATGTTGAATTAAATATTGAGATACAGGTACACATAAGTACAATTATCATAGTGTAAATTACCTAGAATAACCCCAAAGTCAAGTGACTTATTTCCTTTAGGGTCCTTATGCAAGGGGGATTTGGAGCTGTGTATTCTCCTTGCCATGGATCAAATCTGATTACTTCCCAGTCCCCAAGTGCTATATGACTCCCTGTGAATTTGCCACTTCCCCATGAATGTAATGATAATTTACAAGTTTCTCCCTGTTATTAATATGACATTCATAATATGTTCATGGGGATTACTAAACCCAAAGGAGATCATGAAGTGCCTGGGTAATGGAAGGTAATCAGATATGATCCAATTTCTTGGATCAAGAATCCTTCATCTGCACTGAAGCATCCCTCCCTTGAAATTTCTTCTTGTTACAATACCTGCACACTCCTCCCTCCAGTGGCAGTGCCAAGGAGGCTGAAACACACTAATCTCCCTCAGCACCCCAAATAATAATCATAATTAACTCAACTTCAAGCCCTCTAGTTTCCCTTCCAGCCAGATTGCCTCCCTTAAGCCCCTCACATACAAAAACTCTGGAGCCACCAGTGTCTCCCTTCCCTCACAGACAGAAGATAATACTCTGTTTAGATGGAAGATAATACTCTGTTGCTGCAAGACATTGTTAAAACAGAGGAAGAATGTGTCATAAACATGGAACACCCTTCTTGAAGGACTGACCATCACCTATCAAGGCTCAGAGACTCATCACTTCAAAACTACTTTTGTTGTCTCTATTTAACTGAAGCCTGCTGTGCAGACATGTTTTAACAATAAAAATACCCAAGTGTTGCACATGTGTCTCAGTCATTAACCCCCTCTTTAATTAATGTTGATATGAGGGCTTCTAGTTAATTATTAACTACATAAACTATTTGTATTAAATTCACATCCAAAATACATTAGTCTTTAAGCAATATATGGGCTATTATTATTATATTTAGGGCATAGCTTTAAACTCAAAGGGGTTATACAGCACTTGAGGAATGAAAAGCAAACAGGTTCAATTTAAGTTAGTGAAGGAAAATTCCAATTCTTTGGATCAAGAGCCCCTCCTCAGAATCAAAGAATCTCCCTTGAGGAGAATACTGTATAAGGGATTAAATTCAGCATATGAAGCTGACTGCAGTACTTAAAAAATGCTTCTGCAGAAGATTTACATTGCAAAACTTTCAACAGCATGGCATAGTAGTGTCACAGAACTTTCAACAGTACAGTATAGTAGTGTCACAGAACTTTCAACAGTACAGTATAGTAGTGTCACAGAACTTTCAACAGTACAGTATACAGTAGTAGTGTCACAGAACTTTCAACAGTACAGTGCAGTAGTGTCACAGAACTTTCGACAGTACAGTATTGTAGTGTCACAGAACTTTCAACAGTACAGTAGTGTCACAGAACTTTCAACAGTACTGTGTAGTAGTGTCACAGAACTTTCAACAGTACTGTGTAGTAGTGTCACAGAACTTTCAACAGTACTGTGTAGTAGTGTCACAGAACTTTCAACAGTACTGTGTAGTAGTGTCAAAGGACTTTTAACAGTACAGTATAGTAGTGTCAGAGAACTTTTAATAATACAGTAGTGTCCTGGAACTTTCAACAGTCTGTATTATATTCATGGAGAAGCAATAAACCCCTAGGGGTTATACAGCACCTGAAGGAATGGGAGGCAATCAGATTCAATCCAAGGAAGGAAAAGTCTGGTCCAGTTCCTTGGATCGGGAGCCTCTCACCCATATCAAAAATTGAGCACTTATTAAAATGAGCTGCATTTTTTACACTATATTGTAAGTGTCAGTGACTTGTAATGGTTTATATACAGCCCAATGCAACAAGCCTAACCAAAATTTATGTCAGTGTAAATTTCTTACCGTAAAAAGATGGGTAAGTGCTGAAATGACATGATTCTTGGTGCCAGACCTGGTAGAACAGCATCTGAAGTAGAGAATCAGACTGAAGCTAAAAGCTTTTAACACCCTAAATTTTAGGTCAGGCAGGTAAGCAGTTACTGTAAGTAAAACACATGAATGTATTGATCAAGACATTTAGGACAACATTTCACCATGGTTTCTTCAGTCCTAATACAGTGAGGGCAAACTGAGCAGTATATATACTGAAATAGTGCAGGAGGTCAAGTAAACTTAGGTTAATAGTGGTTGGAGTAATAATAGAGTTAACATCATGAGGGTAATCTAAAAACAAAAAAAGAGAGAGAGAGAGAGAGAGAGAGAGAGAGAGAGAAGCCTGGGCAAATGAGAACTGTATATGTATGCATGTATATGTACATACACACACAACGAAATCACCTGGAGAATTGAGTGGCCGAGGCAGGAGTCACACACAACTTTAAGAAGAGGTATGATAAGGTTCTCATAGCCAGGAGAGCGAACCTATTAGTGACCAGCAAAGAGGTGGGGCCAGAAGCTGAGATTCAGCCCCTGGAAACCACATACAGGTGACCACATGCACACACATAAGCACATGCACTCATACACACAGTCTCAATGTCTGTGTGTGTGTGTCTCACTGTCTCACTCTCTGCTCATTTTACCTTCTCTGTATTAAGACTGAAGAATCTACTCATCTCCACAATAAATGTCTTGATCAGTGCATAAATGCCTTGTACCTACAATTTGTCAGTATCACCAGACCAATTCCACCACCAAGTTGTCATGGTACATGGCTGATTCCTGTAGACTGTTAAAGCTATAGGAATCATCCCACTCCAGGAGTAATGTAAGTCAATCAGGCCCAAAGAGAGGAAGGATACATTCAATTCTTTGGATAAAGTCTCTCATCGGCATTGGTACATCTCCCTTGAAAGGGTAGGGATCATATAACACCCAGAGAATAGGAGGCAGTCACATATGATCCAAGGAAGGAGAGCTCCATTCCTCGGCTCTAGAGCCCTTCCAGTAATGGTAGAATTACTGACAAAATGTTAGGTAAAAGCACACAGGTGTGACTAATGTGACATTTTCTTGTGGCAATGTTTTGCTCTCCTGGAGCTTTGTCCAGCCAAAGCTCCTGGAAAGCAAAACATTTACCTAAGAGTCCTTCTCTGGTTACAGAAAAGTGTATGATAGTAAGCAACAGAAAAGCCCGGACCCAGACTAGGCTGTGGAAGTAGGAAGACTCTCAAAACCAGTCACATAAATTACTACTAGCACAGGTTACAAACCACTCAGGCAATGCATATCAAATGGTACTCCTATATTCAAATGCTTATAAAAAATTATTCAAATTAATTCATTATAATTTTCAGGAATGTTTCATTATGAAGCGTTATGTACAGTACTGTGGGATTATAGGACCTTTGTTCACATCTCCCAACATCCACCCACACCAATTATTTTAATATGATATTACTTAATATCCTAGGTTATTATACTGTGAAATGTGTTCAGCTTTTGTACAGGAGAGCCCCACGTTTCTGGTTCCCTCCTTTGGTGTTCCACTATTTCCACCGTTTTCATAAAACAGTTGTATCAAGGATGGGCATCAAGCACCATAGTTCAAGGTAAGTAGTGTATGTACTGAGTATTTACTTTATTTTTGTAGTGTTCATTTTAGGCCTAGCAATATTGTGCACTTAATATATGATAGTGTAAACATGTTATAAGGCATTTTAGATGAATCTGATTGAAAAAAAAAAACAGATCTTTTCCACTCACTGTTAATTTTTGCTTATCAGCAAGTCAGAAACCTAACAGTCAAAAAAAATGGAGCCCTTCTGTACTGTATGTTTGTTTCGTGTATGCGTGGTAAGTTCCTATACATCTGGAACAATGTTTAGGAAATATGACTATAGTTACTGATGTTGACAAACAGCTGGCATGTAACTCGGCCCACTAGTGCCACATCAACCCCCTTTACAAACTTCCATGACAATAAGCAACAACTGGAATGAAAGGTTAAAAAAATAAATTATTATTTTTACATACTAGAAATCAAAAGTGTTTTAGTCAAATTTGGAGTTCTAGAGACCATATTCCTATTTTTCCCTTATGTATCTCACTTTCTATAAAGCGCTCATTTTCAGGAATGTATCCAGAGCACTATGAAAGGACTTACTGTACATAAAATTAAGCAAAATGTTTGTTTTCCTGAAAACTGTATTGACTTAATGAACACTAAACATTTTATGAGCATTCAAACATAAGGGTGTCATTTGATACCACACAAATATGAAGCGGGAAGAAAATATCAGTGCAACCAAACAAAATTAACATGGGTAAGGCATAGAGGTACACAATGCTATCATGTATTTTTTGGAACTACAAATATAGGACTAAAATAAAATCAATATGAGAATTCCTCACCCAGATGGTATCATCAAATTGGTGGCTTATGCACTGGCCTGGAGTTTTACAACTCATTTGCCATGGGTTCTAACCCCACCCATACCGTGTTTGACTAATGGATTAACTTAAAGGATGAAGCATTTTTCTGCCTTCTGATATTTTATTATATGAGAACTCACATGACTACCAGTGTCCACAAAAAAGGTAAACAGAGTTAACCAATGGAAAACCATCCTTAGTGAGGGGTCACAGAAGGGGTCTCTCTAGATCCTCTTCCTAGGATGTAACCCACAACAGTGGACTGATCGAGCCAAACACTCCACCAGTGACCTACAAGACACTTCTGTTGTCATCCTTGTATCACTATTTGAATAACAGTAAATATTATTATTGTAATAAAAAAGAAGCGCTAAACCCACTAGGGTTATACAGCGCTGCATAAGAGTAAATAGAAAAGTAAATAAATAAATGTATATGCATGTGTTTGTTTATTTATTTATTATGCAGAATATGGGGAAATGACTTAGAGTACATATGGAAAACAGGATAAAAAAAAACATGTGATGAAAATACTGAAATAAGACAGTACTCACAACAGTGGATTCAAATTGCACAAATTTATATTTAGAAAGAATATAAGGAAGTACTGGTGTGGCAATATCCCCTCAAGGAAGGTTCCTTGATGCTGGTGAGAGGGCTCTTTGATCTAGAAAGCTGTATAGCCCTTGTGGCTTAGCGCTTCTTTTTGATTATAATAATAATTGATCTAGAAAATTGGATCTGTGGTTCAGTTCCCTGAATTAACCTGAATACCTTCCACATCCCCTGTATAATCCTACGGGTTTAGCACTTCCCCTTGATTATAATAATGTTGTGGCAATAGAGTTGTAGATGAACCTTAACTTCCAGGAAGTGTCATTGTGACAAGTTTATTCAGGTATACACAAATACACTTGCATAGATTACTATACATAGCAGCGTATGTGTAGAGAACTTAGGATAAACCCCAAAAGAAGTCAGTGACTTATTCCCAATGAGGTCCTTGGCTAGCATTAAATATAAGTTGGAGGAGTACATGAGTGGGTGAGGTGAACCTGCCTAGTATGGGCCAGTAGGCCTACTGCAGTTTCTTCGTTCTAATGTTCTTATATAAGTTCCATTATGTTTGAAAAGAAATAAAAATTTTCATTATTATTATTATAAAGGGGGAAACACTAAACCCGTAGGACTATACAGCGCCTGTGGGGGGATGGGGAAGGTATTCAGGTTTAATTCAGGAAACCGGACCAGATCCAATTCCCTAGATCAAGAGCCCCTCACCAGCATCAAAGATTATTATTATTATAATCAACGGGGAAGCGCTAAACCCGTAGGATTATACAGCGCATGGGGGGGGAAGGTATTCAGGCTTAATTCGGGGAACTGGAGCACAGATCCAATTCCCTAAATCAAGAGCCCCTGACCGTCATCAAGGAGCCTTCCTGGAGGGGTAAAGATTTCCATCTCACCACGACTCTGTCCTCCTCACTGAGTATTGCCTGGTCCACTTGCCACCCATTGTGCAGATGTTGCAGCATGTACGACATCTTGCCTCAATAAACACACTAACAAACTATTAATAACAAAATATTTATAATAAAAATGCAGGAAATGACGGGAATTTCTTCTTCAGGAGACGTGTTGTTGATGTTGTTGGGGTTGTTAAAGGCCATCAAGGTTTAGAGCTTATTGACCCCAGCCTCCCTGGAGTCCAGGGAAAATGTGGCCTATAGGTGACAAATGTATAGAAACAAATTAAATTTCCACCTGAAAGAGAAACGAGAACAGTAAGTCTTGCAATTTGGTCCAGGTGCACCACCCTTGCCTTAATTGGCAGATCATGGCTGCCCGTGGCCTGGTAGGCAAAGTTCTCGCCTCACACGCTGTGTCCGTGGTTCGATCCCCGGTCAGGGTGAAACCATTAGGACGTGTTTCCTTAAGACACCTGCTGTCCCCGTTCATCTAGCAGTAAAATAGGTACCTGGGTGTTAGTCGACTGGTGTGGGTCGTATCTTGGGGACAAAATTGACCTTATTTGCCCAAAATGCTCTTCATAACAAGGGACTTTTTATACAGTAGTATGTCATTGATGTCAGCTATGGTCTGTATACCTTATACATGTACTTGTAGAAATAAACGTATTATGGTTATTATTTATCAGGACCCACACAACACAACACTTGAGTCAACAACAACAGGCTTTGATGCACTTGCATTATTAGTAAAATAATTGATTTAATAGGGTGATTAAAATTCATTTTTTTCCTTTTTATTGCAGTACAAAGATAATGTAGTTGTGAGGGAAAAGTTCAATAGATAGGAGTAGTGAGGGAATATATAGTAACAATAGTTTCATTGCCGGCTACTTGTTAAGGTAGGGTAAGTCCAGCTCCCTCTATTCCCGCCTTTTCTCCCCCACCCCTAAAGTGATAGTTTGATTGCTGGCTGCTTGTTAACGTAGGGTCAGTCTAGCTCCCACAATCCCTTCCCCTCCCTCTTCCCCCCCCCCGAAAGGTGACGTGTGGGGCTCTGGTCAAACAGTAAATCACTCGACTCACAGCTCCCAACACTACTGTAAGTACATGCCTGCCTTGTATTCTAGTGGATTTATTGGTTGAAAACTTCACTTTGGACCAATAATAAACTTAGTCTTTTCAGCCTTGCTCTAAGTTGACTGTTGTAATAATCACCACGTCTTTTAGGTATTGTACTTATCATGGAGAGTGATTATTTAAGCAGTGGGTAACCTGTCTATCTTTTCAGCTTGGATGACAGAGAGGGTCACCTGTCAATCAACGAGGAGAACTGACGGAGACGGACTAACGTCCTGGAGACTTCCCATATTGGATTTAATTACCTGTGCACCTGTATGAAATTGCAGGACGTAACCCCACATCATTGCAGCGGTAAAGAACCTGCTTTCCTGTCATCGGGATAGAATACTCACGGTGATACTCTGTGAAGAACTAGCCGGTGGTGGTCAACACCTGCGACCCCCCCCCCCCCCCCACATCAGCAAAGCTAAGATTTCAACAACACGAAGTGTCACCAACACCAGACACCCCAGTATATATATTAGCGTTGAGTTCAAATGTTATTTTATTCCTTTCATTTTTCATTTTTCTTTCAAATAGGATATACCTGTCATGTTTTATTGTTTTATGTTTGCTTTAATAAATAATAGTGTTTAACTTTGTTAATTATTATTTCGTTTTCTATTCATTAATTTTTCTGAGGAGGAGCCAACTTTGGTAATACTGTCTGAAGTTATTACAGAGCTGAGTAAGCCTTCACAAGTGGCGACCTTGCCAGGATCAACTCTACTAAATCAAGATTCAACTCCATCTCGAATCTACCATTGGAACTTCAACGCTGCATACCACAGATGGTTACCACCAGCCATGAGTAATCATTCTCTATGGTAGGACTACGGTACAGGTATTTAAAAGATGTGGTGATTGTCATAGTCTCAATTTATTGTAAGTCAAGTCAGGCAGGATATAATATTTAATTCTGCCACCTTTTGGAGCTTGAAACACTGGAGGATTAGACTTTAGGGACCTGAGATTTTCCAGTGACAATTTGTTTCATTGAGCTCTTTATTATATCAAGGGAACTGTCATAGGACACTCTTGATTTGTTGGTGAGAAGATTGGATGGTCAAATGACCCCATTCTACTTACTGTTTGCTCGGAGCCGGCATAGAACCCTTCGTTTTAATTAATACATATTGTTTAATTGAAGCAGGGATCGAGCCCTCTGGTTTATTTACAGTTTGAGCAGAGCAGGAATTGAACCCTCAGTTTCCTTTAATACCCGTTTCATTTCCCCTGATAGTTTAAGTTATTCTTGCAAGCATGGAGGAATACCAGTTTTGGATGAACGCTGGAAGTAAGTTAGGAATAACAGGGAAAAATTTAGAATCTTTCATTAGTGCTAAGATCCAGGAAAGACTTGAAAGAGAATTGAGAGAGAAGAAAGACAGCTAGAAAGGGAAAGAAGAGAATAAGGAGAGAGAATTGAGAGAGAAATCCGAGAAATACAGAGAGAGAGCGAGAAGACCAAAAAGAGCGTGATAGACTTGATCGTGAGGAAAGAGCTAGAGAACGTGAAGAACAAGTTAAGATACGTGAGGAACAGGTTAAATTAAGAGAACTTGAGGAAAGAGCAAAGGATAGAGAAGTTGAGGAAAAAGCTAGAGAACATGAGTTAATAGAGAGAGAAAAGGATCGCGAGCTCGAAAAATCTCGCCTTGAATTAGAGAATAAAAAGTTAACTTTTACACAACAACAATTAGAGGAAGGAGTAATGGAACAACGTGCAGTCAGTGCACATATTCCAACACCTAATTTACCTCCCTTCACAGAGGGGGAAGACATAACTTCATACATTATCAGGTTTGAAAATACCGCTGCCCTCTGTGAATGGCCTGCTGACACCTGGACTACCAGGTTAGGAATGTTATTTTCTGGTACCGCTTTGAATATCTACGCAACTTTGTCACAGGATATTATATGTAATTATAACCTACTGAAGAAGGCAATACTTAAAGCATACCAAAAAACCACTCTTTCTTACAGGAAAGATTTCAGGTATGCCACCTTACAGCCGGGCCAGAACTTTCAGCAGTTACAGGTAACACTCTTTCGTTTGTTCGACTTTTGGATAGAGAGTTCAGGAATTGATCACAGTTATGAATCTCTTAGAGACTTCATGGTTGCTGACCAGTTCCTGACAGCTCTTCCCCATCAGATACGAACATTCATCAGAGAACGTAACCTGATTAAAGCTGAGGAAGTTGCTGAGGCTGCTGACCTGTATGCTGAGGCTCACAATTCCTATAAAGACCTAAAGGGATCGAACCCTAAGGGCAAGGGTTCATCAGACCTTAAGAAATCAAAGCCTCTAGTAGAAAGTAAAATGACTTCTTTTATTCCTGTTTGTCATTTGTGTGGTGTTAAGGGACATAAACGTCCAGATTGTCCTTCTAAGAAGGTCCAAAAAGTTGGAAGATGTTTTAAAGACTGTAATGACCAAGCACCCTTCTGTTCAGGAACAGTTAATGGACTTAATGTATCTACCATTTTACGAGACACTGGATGCACATGTGTAGTCATTTCTGATAAGCTGTTCCCTAACCTTAAAGAAACTCATTCCTCTGCTATACTTTCATTCTACTTGGGCCGTACGGACACTTTTCCTACCATCCGTTGTTACATTAGGTCTAAATGGTTCACAGGTTGGTCTGAAGCTGTACTAGCTCCCATCACTTCTTGCTCCGTACTAATAGGTAATGTAAAAGGTGCCATTCTTCCTTCTGAGGTTGACCTTTCATCACCAAAGATGGATATAAGTGTTTCAGATCCTCTTCCTGTAGAGTCAGAGAAGCCCCTCGAAAGTTCAGATGAGACAATGTCTCGCGATATTCATGTGGGATTAAAAACCAGTGATGCTACTCTCGAAAGCGAGGAAGTAGGATCACCGGTTCACTTGTTAGATGAAAGTGAAGATATCACCTCCGATACTATAAATGTCTTGACTAGGGCTCAGACCAAAGCCCAGGCTTCTCCTACTGTCCATCCTTTGATTTTCCCTGACTTCAAGCCTTTAGATGTATCGAAGGACTCCTTTGTCAATTTACAACGTAATTGCCCTTCTCTTCAGAATTGCCATAATGCCGCTAAACAAAATAAAGTTATCCAAAGGAAAAACTTTTCATATAAATTTGAATATATAAAAGGATTCTTGTACAAGTCGGTATTCAAATTAAATTCAGATGAGATAGACTATTCCATCTTAGTTGTTCCAAGTCAATGCAGAGAGACTGTTCTTAAAATGGCTCATGACCTGCCAGTGGCCGGACATTTCTCGCATCGTAAAACCTTAAATAAAATTAGGGAAACCTATTTTTGGCCAAAAATGTCCTCAGATGTCACTACCTATTGTAGATCGTGTAAAGTTTGCCAACTGTCATCCTCCCGAGGTACCAGGCGAGTACCTATGGTCAAAATGCATATCTTTACGGTACCGTTTGAAAGAGTAGCTATTGACATCGTTGGTCCTTTATCTCCACTTTCATCTGGGGGACATAGATATATATTAACATAAGTTGATTATTCTTCGAGCTTCCCTGAAGCCATTCCCTTAAAGACCTTAACTACTACAGAGGTGGCTGAAGCCCTTTTGTCCATCTTCTCCAGAGTGGGCATCCCTAGAGAAATTTTGTCTGACCGTGGGACACAATTCACATCTGACTTAATGCAACATCTATACCAACTTCCGGGAGTGAAGCCTCTCTTCACCACACCCTATCATCCCAGCTGTAATGGGAGGATTGAGCGCCAGCATTCGATTCTCAAGTCCATTTTAAGGAAACTTTGCTCCCTTAAACCTAAGGAGTGGCATCGTTACCTATCCTGCGCTTTGTTTGCCATGAGGGAAGTTCCCAGTGACTCTTTGGAGTTTTCACCTTTTGAACTTCTCTATGGTAGACAGGCCAGAGGTCCATTGTCCATCCCTCATGAGTTATGGACTAATGAGAAGGTAAATGAGGTTCAGTCTTCTTATCAGTTTCTCCTTTACCTTGGATCCAAACTTGAGGAGACCTCTGACATAGTTTCGAAAAACCTATGCTTGTCAATGGACCAGTACAAAACTATTTTGACTCCAAAAGTCAGAGGAGAAG